CTCGCATTAACAGCTAGTTTTGTTTTTGGCTGATGGTTAGGTTCGATACCTGTTATCTTATTGTAAATTTATTTGTGCTATAATCAGTATAAAACGGAATGAACCTGAGAGTATAAATGTGCAGTGTCAGTGTGGGGTGCGGGTGTGACTTTCACTCTATTTTCTTTGCACTTTACAGGGCACCAACACTTAATCTGTTTCAAACTATATTATAAGTTTTTTCGACATAATAATGTTAAGGGATGAGAACAACGTTGGAGTCGTTATGAGATCATCATGACAACATCTCAAAAAAAGTTTGTACTATCGAATTCGTCTCTTCTTCTCTCAACTAATTCACTTGACTAAAAAGCTCATAATTGTAAAAAAAAAGAAGCATTGAAGCTGTTAAACAACTTCTAAATCGTGAAAAGTACACATTCTGAAGCGCTATGAAAGCGTAAAAACTATCTAACGACAATTGTACGATAAATTTGCATGTTTTTACTGTTTTTTTTTTTATTGATTGTGTGTCTGTCTGAGTATTGGGATTATGTTGGCTGTATTTTTCATAGAACATTGAATATGAGATTGTAAAATGAATGAAACCAATTATTTCTATTTTATCAAAAATGATCTATTTATTGAAGTTTTCATGGCTTACATATCGGAAGATGAATTAAATTTTGAATAATATATCTATAGATAAAACAAAGATAAATTGTATTAACATGTGTTGAATAAATATTAATGCCAATGCTTTGCTTTGTATATTTTTGTTCAAACCCAGTCATTTAGAATGAAAGCAAGAAATTCGAAAAGCAATGTTCATTCAACGATATAGACCGACGTATATCATTGTGTATGTCAGTATATATAATTCAATAAGGATAGACAAGAAACAACAACAGAAATGAGCGTTAGTAAGTTTGAATTTATACCTGCCGATATTATTGTTGAAATTTTTCAATCATTTTTATTATTAAATAAACGTTTTGCAAGAATTATTACGGATGAATATTTGTGGAACATTCATATTGGTGATAATATAATGTCATTATTAATGTTCAATAACCTTTTTCAAAATGTTTTGAAATTAATTGGACAACGTATTGTCTCATTACGTATAAGATTAAGCCATATTGTTGGTGGATGATCACTCATTTCATCGTCTCTTCAATTCCATCAAACAATATTACTTCAATGTCTTCATTTAATCGATATTAAACCACATGAACTTGATAAATTATTATATAATCATTTGATAAAACAAATACATACTTTGTTAATTGATGTGACACTATCAAATCCGTTCCACGATCTTACAGTTGAAGGAGTTTATCTAACTAAGGTAAGTAAACAAAAATTTTTCAATTCATCATGAAATGCAGCCTTTTCTGTGATCAAACAAAATATCTTTTTATATAATAGAAAATTTAATTTTTTGTATTGTTATAAAAGGTATGTTCACAATTACCCTTGCTAAAAATTTGTCGACTTCCATTTGATCATAAATATGAAATTGTTAATCAATTAGGAAAATATTCATTAAAATTACAAATGATTTTACCGAACGTTTCAAATACAATTCATCTTCGTAAATTGACTATTGATACGCATACATCATGCTTTATCGAGCGTTTATTAACGTGTATACCATTTATTGAAAACCTTTCTTTTTGCCTCGATGATTCCTTGATGAATCAGAATGAGAGTTTTGACACAAATTCGTAAGTAACATTCTTTTTATCTGTAATATTATAATTAATATGAATGGCTCTAGATTATCTACCCTATCGATTGTCATCTTCTTTTGTATTTATCTCGTCTACATGTAAATTGTACAAATAACGTTAGTTTTCATCGAATTATTGCACTTTTATCATCTATATTCAGTCAACTTATTCAACTATCATTAAAATTAGAAGTATTTACGTTTATATCGGATCTATTTATTATATTACGTGATACTATCCAGAAATTATGTATCGATCGATTAATATATTCTTAACCTATCATTCTCTGTTGAAGATGATTTAGAGGAGAAAATAATTTTCAATTCATTTTTAAAATCTTCATTTATTTATCAAAAACGACCAAAGATGATTATACAAGAATGTTCAGGTTAGGGTACTACTTATCTTTATAGGTTTGTCGTATATACTTCACCACATAATGATACCATACTTCCAACGAGTTTATTTATTACAAATTTAGAAAAGTATGTAGGAGATATATTGTTTGTAGCAAAGATCTATAGAAACTTTTTCTTTTTTTTTCTGTTTAAACATTATCAAATGTCAACTAATACAGTAAATTTGTTTCCGCGTGCAAATGAACTTTTATTAATTTCTTATAAGGACAAAAATCGTTTTCCAAATTTTGCCTATTTTAAAAGTCCTACATCATCATTAGTTCCGTGGTCTTTATTTACAAAAATTTCAATTGAACAAGGTGACACTGTTCCTTGCAGCTGAATTAGAAGCAATATTACGAATGGCTTATAATGTGCGAACACTAGATTTAGGTATTAAGAGTAGAATTTTACTCCACACAATATTACATAATCATGATAATCTCGGAACTCG